TTACTGTTCTATGTTTTAGGAAAAATATGTTTAAGAACTTATTGCAAAATAGCAATAATCTAAATACATATATAATGTATAGTAATGGAAATGTGACTGTATTTTACAAAATACTAGTCTACTAAAAGACAGCCAAGACAAGTTACTTTGCACAGACCAAAGGTCAGATTTTTGTTATTTGATATGGCAACATGAGTGTACATGAGCCACATCACTGTTACTTCTGTATTGTTAGCCAGGCATGGCTGAAAGGTCAATATAATAAAAATAATAAATATATATATAAATGTATAATGTTATGAGATTTAAGCTATTTAGTCTAAACATTTATATTTTTGCATTATAATTTGTTGTCATTCTAGAATGAAAGAGGCATAAGTTATATTTATTTCCTAATTTTTTTATGGTGGTTGCGAGATCAGTCAAACCTACAGAACCTGTAAATAGACATGAGAAAACATTACTTTGTAAACCTTACGACTCAATATAAAAAAAATTGATATTTTGCATATGAAAGCATTGTAATGTTTACTGATAATCTGCCAAATTTCGTTAACATTTGCTTACTAATTTAAAAGTTATATGGTTGGTCCCAAGGACCGAGTCCAAGCTGATAGAGTAAATGTACTGCAGTAATAAAATAATTAGGCTGATAATATGAAGTTCATAAAATGAAATATCACAGATCAAACATGTAGGAAATTTAATAATTTCATGTTCCACCACGACACAAATACTACAGTGATAAAAATAACTATACGAGTTATATATCGATAATGTAATAATAAGCTAATTGGATTGCACATAACAGCTAGCTTCAGGAAATGGAATATAAGTTAGTTAATCTGATGAGAGAAATCTACTGACTTATCAAGTAGTGACAGATTAGCTACACTAAAGAGACAATACAAATCTACATTACCCAGAATATTAATACGATATATGTACTGTTGAAGAACATCTCTCTCTTGGAGATATTCACCAGGTGGAGGAGGAACTTGTGTTTTCATCTCTCCTCCAAGTTCAGGTGACCAGCCAAGCTCCCACAACACAGGAGGTGTTCTGGAAAAGCCATTGACTAGGGGAAGTCTTCCTAAGCCTAAAAGAAAAAAACATAAATATTGGAAAAACACTTTCATAAACAGATAAGTTCAAGTCTTTTAATACATTTACATACATGGCAAAATTGTTTCTCACTATATATTACAAATAAATATTAAAAAAAAGAGAGAGAGAGAATATTTTTAATATTATAATAAAATTTTCTATGGAAATAATATATATAAATTTGATATAAATTCTTTAAACATATTTTTCTCCCTGCAACCTTACCTATTTTTGATATACTTACTTGGTTCAGATTTCAAACTGAGACCTATTGCATGCCAGGCAAATACTCTACCAAATAGGCTTAATAGTTAACCCACTAGCAATTGTTAGTAAAGTACTTTTTAACAACTCAAACTATTACATTCTTCCCTTTAACAAACCAAGCCTGTTCTCAAGTGAAAGGTTGTGGGATGGTCTCAACCTGGAGTTCCAATGATGATAATATTTTTTAATACATATTTCCTGGCCTTGGACATGATACCTGTCACATGTAAGGTGAGTAATCTATCAGTTGAGCTAAAGGGTTAACTCACTACTGCTTGCTACAAAGTCACTTTTAAATGACTCAAACTATTATACTATTCTGCTATATTTCATGGATTAAGATAATAAGCAGAAGTACTGCTACTGATTTACTTCTTAATAGTTGTATCAATAGTATTTTTTTGACCCATTCTTATGGGTTATTACACTTATTTCGGGGAATGTTTCACTGCAGGCCAACTTGATGCTAAATTGTTTTCAAGTATCACATCAGAAGTTTTTGCATTTATTTCTGGATTTACAAAAACAATATGTTTTAAGATAAAAAGTATGAGTTTATCATATATCTCTAATTTTTTCTTTTTACATGCGTGTCTTTAAGTTAGGGAAGGAATAAAAGGAGTCAAAATTAGGTATACATTATACAGTATACATTTGCATGTGTAATTCACATCAATAAACATTTCTAAATTTAACAAATCAAATTAAATTACTTGAGTTATGTTAGTTTAGCAGCTAATAACAATCACCACAGGTACCTAAACAAACAAAGATGGCTGGTTATCATTATGTTAATTTTTCCTACAACACATGTTGGTAACCTCTATTATTACTGAGAAAAACGCCAAACACTAAGAGTGTAAGTCACACAGTTTTAGGTGAGATACCACAACTTATTAAACTCAATATGTGTACATCATTTTTATTCACATAAAAATAAAATTACAAATTAAGAATTTAAATAATTCAAAGATGGTAAATATACTGAGAAACATTGTTACAATTTTAAATAATGTCTAAAATGGTAAGTATGCTGTGGAGTATCATTAACAATTTAAAATTATTTATATATGAAAAATTTACATCTCAATGTAAAATGTGACTTTTTTGCATCATTCTAAAATACAATGATCTAATGAAGTAATTTGAAATTCAGGAGCATTCTTTGTTTTACTTATTTCGGAATACAATGAAATCTAAAAAAAGATACAGTTTTGAAAGTTTTTCACTACGAGGAATGAAGAAATGACTCACCAACAATAACACTCTTTAACAGCTGTTTCACAAACTTAGGAATGGTATAAACAGCTCTGTCATACTGCTCAAGCCAGCCTATCAACTGAGACATCTGTAAGCATGCCTTCTGTGCTCGCAGTTGTTCTGTCAAAAAAATAAAAATTAATTAAGAGATTAAGTGAAACCAAACATCTTTCATAATAAAAAAGCTTAAGAGTAGTTGTAAGAGCAAAACTTTTAACAAGAAATTGAGCTTTAAAAAATATGTGATAATGATAATCACTGTTTATAGTGAAGTAGCATTTGTTATATATAGTCAGTTCACTATAGTAATTTTTTTTTATCTAAGATAAAAATAATTGTTACAGTATTTCAAATAAGGATTATTATTTATTAGAGGAAAACAAATTATAAACTGCTGTCTAACTATGGAAAATTCCCAGAAAAACCTGAAATTTTCTGGTACTTTTTAATACTATAAAATAGCAGTAACACTCTGTACTCTGAATATTAATTCTTAAATATCAAGAAAGTATACTAAATAATAAAATATTTGCTTCAAAACCTTTTAATGCAAACCTGTGATTGAGACTCAAAACTCTGATATTTTATACACTTAAAGTAGATTTCAGTTTTATAGATATATTTATTTTCAACCTTTTGTGTTTATGATACAAAAGTAAAATAGTTGTAACTGAGCAAATTTGTATTAGGTTTTAATTGAAACAATAATAATCAAATATATCATATTTCTTTCTAGAAACTTTGTAAACTATAAAAGGCAGGGGTCAGTCAATAGGAGTCCAGGGAGCATATTGTATTTCCAATAAAAAACAAAAAGACATAAAATTAGATACTTTTAAATAGTTAACCTTATCAGGAGGATGCCATTTTTAAACCCTTTTCTGCACATGTTACTGCATTACATTCAAAATTTAATTAAACCACTTTAATATCAGTGCATATTAATGAAATTATTATTATCATCAAGTACATTATTTTTCAAATTTATATAGTATCCGAGTTTCATTCATTTATTTTAAAAGAAACCTTTAAAACAATAATCAAAACAGCAATTTTTGTTCTCGTGTAATGAGCTCACAGTTACAAATATCAATTTTAAGAGCTGGTACAGAAGAAACTGCGTGCAATTTAGACTTTTCTCTAGACATTCCAAGTATAGCATATTTAGGCTGTTTACTAGTAACTTGAGTACCTTCCAAGAACTTGTCCCAGAGAAAACGACTGTAAAAATTCCTCAGTTCAAGATAAGCCATGCCCACTTGCAAAGTAGAAACTGTGCTGCTAGCAGCAGTTTTAACTTCAACGACATGCTTATAACCAATAGAAAGAGCAAATTTCCTTCTATAATTTCTCAGGGTTATATTTAAGCAGTGGTGATTAGACTTGGGTTGTGAATGGATATATCGTGTCAAGGTCCATTGTTGAAGGTCATCTTCACTAGCACTTTGCTATTTTTTCTCTCCTTATAAATATTAGTTTGACAGACAGTTAAATTGTATTCAGGTTTTAATTTTATATTTGAGTTAATTATGCATTATTTGTGTTTTAAAATTCATAACTGAAAGTTTTAATAACTTTTATAAAATATTGAAAGCTTCACTTCACTCCACAAGACATATATTAAAAAGCAAGTAAAAAAGATTTTGCCAGATACTCAAATATCTCTGTCGTTCAGACCATACTACTACCCACAGGTACTTGTTGATGTGTGTCAACATAAATAATAAACAGTAAATAACAGGAAAGGAAAATAAAACACTAAAATTAAACTATTAGTGAAAATATACACAATACGACCAAAAAAAAGATATTTTGAGACTATTCTTCGAAGGCAAGTACCTATTTTATTGCACTGTACATTGAGGATAATAATTAGAGTTAGTGATATGGTGTATAAAATGAAAATAAAATATAGATATTTACCTTAAAAAAAACTTTTGATATTGATTTAGGAGGTTCTAGAGATTATGCAAGTGAAATGTAAAAACTGTTAGATAATAAATAGTATTTTTATACTCAAAATGAAAATCACCTTGAAGTGAACTATTCAATGTCCGAATACAAATAACTACATAAAATAACAAATTTTTATTAGATATAGTAGAAAAAAATTAAAATCGAGTACTTTATTTTTCTGAAACTACATACTTTTAACCCTTACCAGACAGGTCACGGGTGAATGGCCATGTCATTGCTTTTGTTGACTCACATTCAAAATGTTATTGAACTAATATTTCATGAATTTATGTCAATAAGTTTGGGATCACAATGTAGATTATTTTAGTGTTATACATTACTCAATTTCTTAATTTAAAGATAAATATAAAAAAATCCTAATTATTGATTTTTGTGTGTCACGTGGTATGTTGAATGCAGCACTGGTTCAAATTAGACGTTTGTACAAATTAGGAACTAAAATTACCGATATTGACAAGCAAGAATTTAAAATAAGAACCTCTTATCTTTTCTCTTTGCTGAGATATTGCTTATATAAGAAATCAAACACAGTGCAACCTCTTTTCATTTTTGGAAAATCTCCCTTATGTACATTTACTTCTATATATGACATGAATAACCAATCAAAAGTTCAGAATGTCTCCCTAGTGGCTTTATCAGCCATTTTAACATATTTGGACACCATCTCTTTTTTTCAAACCATGATTTCAAGGAGGTAGGTTGTGTCTTTAGTATGCTCGAAATTTCATATTTTATTTTGGACTGAAATACAGCTTAGTTACTAACTTTGGTAAATTATAGTGGAATTCAACGGTATTGATATGGTAATTTATGAGTATTTGGTTATTCAAATGTATATATGAAACCAAAAAAAATTTCTTTTATATCCTCCATGTGTGAAATTTTAAAAGATAAAATATATAGTTTTTTCTTAAGAAATGTTTGATAACTATCTCGACATTCTAAAGATTTCACGTGTTAAATATGAAAATTTTCTGATGTATAAAAGTATTTTTAATCTTAAAATGAAATTAATAAGCGTATGTTAACGAAATTTGGTATATTAACAGTAACGCTTTCATATGCAAAATACTAATTTTTTTTTATCAAGTCTTAAGGTTTCTTAACAATGTTTTTCTCATGCCTTTTTTTTTCTTTTCGCATGTTGCCTATCCAACATGCAAAGTAATTTTTCGTAACCATTTTGTGCTTGTTATAGTTTTCATGCTATAGCTTTTAAATTAATAAGCATATGTTAATGAAATTTGGTATATTAACAGTAAACATTACAATGCTTTCATATGCAAAATACCAAATTTTTTTAATTAAGTCTTGAGGTTTGTTAGCAATGTTTGTGCTTGTTATAGTTTTCATGCTATAACTTTGATCGGTCCCAGGGACCGAGCTCGTGATGAAAGAATTAAAAAAAACAATATATCAGGTACTGCATTTATTTTGTATAGTAACTTGTTTACTTTACACTTAACATGCAACAGTAAAAGTTACATAAGCCATAAACTAAGACACTTTTTTTCAGTTGTTCTTGTAGCCTTTTTTTAAGTCAAAAATTGCGTAGTTGCCTCTAAGCTCGGGTATTATAAGAATAGAGAGAGAGTAATAAACATTTTGTTTTTGTAAGGTGTGTGATTAGGTCAACACCTTTGACCATCAATGTATGACTTACACTGAAAATAATAGTAATCAAACACATTCTACTGTGCAGTGGTTTCAGTGTGCATGCTAGCAAGATAGTTATATGGTAGTTGAGGGATTCTTGGACTGTAAAACCTGGGGTGCGACTATTGTTTTCCAAGGAGGGGCTCAAGAGGTGGTTTTGAACCCTTGAGGCCAAAATATTAGCCAAAAAACAATCAGAAGACAGAATTATTGAATTACTGACAGGAAACTGAATGAATGGAAAAATAAAACAAAACATGTTTAAACATTCACTTTTTCGTTTTAAAATATCCTAGTTTTAAAGTTTTTACAGTGTAGTTCAGTTAGTAAGTAATAATACAGGAATAACAGAAAAATTGCAGTTCAGTATATTGAGTACTTGGTGCTGAAAAACTATTTTTGCAGTAGCTTATGATGCACAGTAATGAAAAGTAAAAAGTAACGGGAGATTTTAGTGATGCTCTTTCTGGCCAGAAAGGGTTAATTCCTTATTGATACACCCTATCTCTAGGATATATACATACACATACTTACATAATAATTTTTAATATAAATACTACAGTTAAAACCAGATCAATTCTTGTGATTTCTGGACTTCCTGGGTCCTTTGCCAGGGTTCACTGCACCACTTGAACTCCACCTTATTTGTGCCCTGTTTAAAATAAGTTCTTCTGACAGTTTCTTCTATATAAGTTTCTCCTGAATTTTTTTAGGAGATGATATGTAACTGTTTTTAAGAAATTATAGCATAATATTAATTATCTCAAAGTGTTAAAATGAACTACCGGTATGCTTCTTAACCCTTTTACAAGGGATAGTTAACTCAAAGTCTGCATGTCACAATGTTGTACAAAGTTATATTCAAAATGTAATTAAACTACTTTATTATCAATGTATATGAATAAACTTGGTGTCAAAACACAGCTAGTAAATCAGATTTTAATATCATAAGTTTTAATTTCTTATTTTTATAAGGAAATGTTAAAAAAAAACCTCAATCTTCTCCGGGTAAGAAAATTTTGACATTTGCTCTTTAGGTTTCCCTCTTCTACAATTTATTTACCACTGCTTTGAGAAGTACAGAATTTAATGTAAATTACTTATTATAGTACAGTTATTACTCATGCAAAACATACATTGTATAGCATTTAATCTTATTTGGTTACAGAGTCATAAACCAGAAAATCAGACCCCTCTTGCTATGTCTACATGTCACATCCTTTCTTTCACAAATTGGAGCTTAGCTGGATTTTCAATGCCTCTAATGGCATAGTTAGAAAGCCAGAAAAATTATGATAGTTGTAGAACATTGTCTACTTTTTACATGTCATTATTCAGTTCTTAGGTGCAGCATTTAATTAAATAAAAAAATTCTTGTTTTACATGTATATTCTTTATTATTTCCAAAGTAACCAAAATGGAAAAATTAGAAACTTAATAGGTTAGATTTGGTAAAATAAAGAAAAATATTAATAAAAAAAATTCAT